TTTTTTTTTTTTAATTTGATCAGAGAGAGACACACACAGAAAGACAGAGAGAGAAAGAGAGAGAGGAAAAGTGAGAATGCAAGCCACCAGATCTGGGGACTCAAACTGTGGTCAGCCATGTGGGAGTATCCAGCACCTTAACCACCATGCCACCTGCTGGTCCCTAAGAGATTTTTGGTATAGGGCATGTACTCTTGTCGGAGAGAGACAGAAAGTGAAAAATCATCCCCTGGGGGAATGGCTATGCTACAGTCCCTTCTCTTCCATTCTCTTCTTAGGCCGTTGGGCACACACGCACATGCTCCTGGCGTGAGTTTTAAGTTGCTGGGTCTGGGCCTTGAACTGCCGTTGACTATGCGAGAGTCCAGGGACATAACTTTTTTTTTTAATTATTTAATTTTATTTATTCATCCATTCATTTATTTTTAGTTTGAACAGAGAGACACAAAGAGAGAAAGAGGAAAAGTGAGAAAGCAAGCCACCAAATCCAGGACTTGAACCATGGTTGGTCATGTGGGAGTGTCCAGCACCTTAACCACCACTCCACCTGCTGGTGCCTGGGGACATAACTATTACACCATCTACTGGTCCCTCTTTTGTTTATTAATTTGTTAGAGAATGCATGTGCTTGCCAGAAAGTGATGTAGGGAGGAGGGCAATGAGAAAGCACCCCTCCTCACCTGTGGTAGATGGTCATGTCACAATCATTTCACCTCCATTTCTTCTTTAAGGATTTTGGGCCGGGCACACTGTCACACATGCCTGGCGTGTTTTTCAAGCTGCTGGGTCTGGGACTTGAACTGTGCAGTTGGCCATGTAGGATACAGCTGCCTTGATCGTCATTCCACTAGCTGACCCAAAATATTAAAAGAAATATTTTAAATAATATATAGAAGGGTAACTTCTGTGCTCGTCAGACAGACAGAGAGAGACAGAAAGAAATCGAGAAATCACCCACCCGGGGTGGTGGCTATGCCACAATCCCTTCTCCTCCATTCTCCTCTCGGGATCTTGGGCACGCACGCACACGCGCCCGGCGTGAGTTTTAAG